GGCCCGTTCCAGATTTGCCTTGTTTGGAACGACCCGTTCTGGTATTGGAACGGCCCGTTCCACCCAAAATGTTAAGCTGATTTCAGTTACGTTGGAACGGCCCGTTTTTTTATTGGAACGGCCCGTTCCGATTTTGGAACGGCCCGTTCCGGGCTACTGAAACCACCTTATTTGGCCTTTATGCCTTCTGATGTCTTGTCTTGTTGTTTTCGTACTTTGGAAGCCCCTTCCCTTCGTAATGGAGGTCCATTTCCAAGCTTCTAAGCTTGAGAGGAGACAAGCAATTCGGCGAATGTGAACACAAAACAAGGTGGGCGGCTCTTTGGACTTTATTTTACTCCAACCGGTTTTGAAAATGTTGATCTGGTTTAGTTAGGTTCATCCAATGTGAATGGAACCTAGCTAAATCAAATCTATGAAAAATTAGGAGTAAAATGAGTCTAATATGTAAAATTTTGCTTAGGCCCACCTCTAGGCCCAATTGCTAGTAACACTCTCTAGCTTGCTAGTGACACTGTCTAGCTTGCTAATGCCACTCCCAATCCTAGAAAACTAAGAAAAAAGTGTATTTCTAGATTAGGTTAAATGGATTCAAAGTGTCCAAGTAACCTACCCTAGAAACAATATACAATAGCTAGTAAAGCAAATAGAGTGCCTCTCAAATACAAATGCAAAAATATACCTATACAAGTATCTACTATATACAAAGTACAAGAAATCAACTATACAAGTATGAACAATGAAAACTCAAGAGACTAATAAGAGGAATCATAATCAATGTTCATGAGGAGCAAAGGTCTAAGAAGCACCTCCTCTGTAGAAGCCTCCTCTAGCCTCCTAACCATGGACCTAGTTAAAGGCCCAATGGTCTTCTAGTGTGAGCCTCCTTGGATCAACCTTCACCCCTCTTGGTCTTATCTCTTCCAAAGGGATCCTTGGGGATTAGATTTCCATCACATCTACTACCATCACCCTACCAAGGAAAAATTTATTAATAAGGATTTCATATAAAACCAGGATTCAACTCTATTGTTGTCACGAACAACATATATACAAGGCATAAATCTTGTGAATTAAAATGGAAGGCAGAAGTGCATTTAAGAGTAAATTCATAGATAGATCAATCAATGCATATACATAAACAATAGTACAAAATAGCAGTCATCCCACTATTCCGCAAAAGAAGTTTTGTAGTCAAACTCTCCACACAGCTATTAGGGATTGATCATTGTGAGTAAAATAGTTTCCACAAAATATTGGGTAAGAAACACAGATTTCATAACTAAGTTAACCATCATGCTATATGTGTCCAATAAGATCAAGTCATGCATAAGGACCATAAAAGTGGGCTCAGCTTATTTTATTTTCATAAATGTCGACACACACCACTGCTCCCGCACAGTATATGCCAAAAAAAAAAATCAAAGATAAACCAGAACAGTACCTTTACAAAATCACCAGCCTGAATCATAAAATCCTTAATAACTCTATGAAATTGACAACCCTTGTAACCAACAGGCAGTCCTGCTTTCCTGCCAACAAAATCAGATCATATAAAGTATTAGTTGACTTAAACCTACCCAGCAATGAGGCATACAATATAGAACCATTTGGGAAAATAAATCAGAGGGGGGTAAACTCAAAAAATAATTCAACACCACTGCTAATCCAAAAGGTTGTTAAATCAGAAGATCCTACCTAGACTTGAAATTAGACAGGGAAAGAAGAAATGTAAAATGTAATTTAACCCAAATAATCATAAGACCTTTAAAATCACAAGATTAAAGAAGCTACAATTCAAAAATAACACCTTTATATCGTCATCAAGGATATGATTCCTAAGTCTATACCCTATACTAAAGAATACACATAAGCGACAACTAGAAGGAACACATTATTATCACATACTTGCAAGATAAAACAGTCTATTTTCATGAAAAAGCTCAAAAGCAATAATCAATTTGGTCAACACGTATTCACAATCCATGTAAACAACCTTGTTTGACAACTTACAGCTACCACGACAGGTATGCAGACAACTTTGCTTTCTCCTTTAAACATGACCAGTTGAGTTGCAACCAGAAAGATCAACATAAGATCAATGACCAAACAATAAACGCAAACAGATACAAAGCAAATCAGTCTGGAAATGTATAAATGGGTTAAAGGTGACGCTCTAAAATGTGAATCTTCAATAAACTCGTGGGCTGCCATGGATAGTGTTTGTAGGGATCATGTAATATGTAGTCAGGGTGAAAATATCCTTGTTTGCGAGCCGTGTGTTGATAAAGAGCCAGTATGTCTTAGCTCTTCCTCTGCTGCGCGTTTTACCTTCTGCTATACAACTCTTATTTCTAAGATTAAGGTTAGATGGCCCCTTACCGACTGTGAAAAGGGGGTTCTCCAGAAGTTGAATATAGCCCCTACTCAATTTCATCCAAATAGTTGGGCATTCGTCCGGGGGTTTGAGATTTTATGTTCGGGACTGGGTGTGAGACCGACTGTGGATAAGTTCTATTTATTTATTTTTTATTTTAAAATTTTTTTTAAAATTTTTTTTTTGCCTAGAATGCCTTTTGCGGGTTTTCATTCTAGTAACTTCTTAACAAGCAACGTTTCTCTCTTGTTGAAATCACCTTTCGAGAAAGCTTTATTCACTTTGCCTTAGTGTTTGAGGGATTCGTCCTCCTCAAGCTCTATTCCGCTTGGATTTCACGGTTGTATGACACAACTTTATTCTTTTAGGGGAAGAGTTAGCATCTTGATGATCGTGGATTTCTTTACCCTAAACTCTTTATGCATGGCTTATTTACCCTAGAAACAATATACAATAGCTAGTAAAGCAAATAGAGTGCCTCTCAAATACAAATGCAAAAATATACCTATACAAGTATCTACTATATACAAAGTACAAGAAATCAACTATACAAGTATGAACAATGAAAACTCAAGAGACTAATAAGAGGAATCATAATCAATGTTCATGAGGAGCAAAGGTCTAAGAAGCACCTCCTCTGTAGAAGCCTCCTCTAGCCTCCTAACCATGGACCTAGTTAAAGGCCCAATGGTCTTCTAGTGTGAGCCTCCTTGGATCAACCTTCACCCCTCTTGGTCTTATCTCTTCCAAAGGGATCCTTGGGGATTAGATTTCCATCACATCTACTACCATCACCCTACCAAGGAAAAATTTATTAATAAGGATTTCATATAAAACCAGGATTCAACTCTATTGTTGTCACGAACAACATATATACAAGGCATAAATCTTGTGAATTAAAATGGAAGGCAGAAGTGCATTTAAGAGTAAATTCATAGATAGATCAATCAATGCATATACATAAACAATAGTACAAAATAGCAGTCATCCCACTATTCCGCAAAAGAAGTTTTGTAGTCAAACTCTCCACACAGCTATTAGGGATTGATCATTGTGAGTAAAATAGTTTCCACAAAATATTGGGTAAGAAACACAGATTTCATAACTAAGTTAACCATCATGCTATATGTGTCCAATAAGATCAAGTCATGCATAAGGACCATAAAAGTGGGCTCAGCTTATTTTATTTTCATAAATGTCGACACACACCACTGCTCCCGCACAGTATATGCCAAAAAAAAAAATCAAAGATAAACCAGAACAGTACCTTTACAAAATCACCAGCCTGAATCATAAAATCCTTAATAACTCTATGAAATTGACAACCCTTGTAACCAACAGGCAGTCCTACTTTCCTGCCAACAAAATCAGATCATATAAAGTATTCGTTGACTTAAACCTACCCAGCAATGAGGCATACAATATAGAACCATTTGTGAAAATAAATCAGAGGGAGGTAAAATCAAAAACTAATTCAACACCACTACCAATCCAAAAGTTGTTGTTAAATCAAAAAATTAGATACAAGTGGCTAAGCCAAACTATCATAACTATCATGACTATCATGACTTCAAACGTATTTGTATAAATATTTTGCACAGAAGTCATATGTTCTTGAAAAACTTTTGTACAAACCGTTGAATTTTATGGTTCACATACTTTTTTCCAATCAAAACCTGGATGTGAGAATTGTCCCCTGGCAAAAGCCAACCAGCATCATTTGTTTTAAATTTACATTTTAATTATAGGATAGAAGGTTGCATTGATATCTGTAACCCATAGTCACATCTGACTAATAATTCAATGATCATCTCATCAGGTCATTTCATCATAGTAGATCAAAACCATCATAACTATCATGACTTCAAACGGAAATTTTAAAAATAAAAAAATGAAAAGAGATGGAAAACCACAATAGGGCTAGGCTGGAAAAGACTATTTCACTACCTGTACTCCCCAGTGCAGAGCTGCCTGCCAAATAACAAAAGACAAATTCATCAATTGAAAAGGGCATGAACTTGTCAACAAAAGAGAATCTCAATCCAATAACCATTAATAAGCATTCACGAAAAAAAGAGTCCAAAATATAGTTTAAGGAAAATAAGTAGTCTTCCTAAAGTAATCAAATCATCTATACTATTCTTTTTTTTGTTTTCATTGGTTCACGCAATTCTCCAAACCGACAACTAAAGACTAATTTGTGTTATCGGGATGTGATTTCCGTTAGCCAAATTTATTTTAACACATTCAAAAAACGAACCAGAGACCACCCGGTCGACCCCTTGAGTCCCTCTATACTATTTTACAAGCACTCAAGCTTCCAAACATGCATTACATTTAAAACACATTTTTCAATGGTGTTGTCATGTAACTGTAAGGCGAAACTCGAAATTCTTAAACAGTATGTTGGTGGAAGTTGATTCTGAACATGATAACAGCAAGGAAAACTAAGAAGCAATGGTGAAAGGCAAAGAAGAAGTGAAAAATTAGCGGCGAAGTGAAGCCCAAAGCATTGTTACCTGAAATTCTCGGCAATTCTGGGCGCAATGTTGGCGAAGAGCTCCATCTTGATTCGACCGGCGGGAATGTTACCGATGGTGACATTGAAGAAGACGATGGGGTTCTTAGGGTTTGGAGGACGCACGTGCCACTCCACACCCGCGCTCGAGCTTAAGTTCCCTCCAACTGAACTAGCCATTCACTCAGCACAAAACAATTACAACAGGGATGCACGCTCGTCTTCTAAATGACTCAAAGTGAAGACCCGAGGGCAATAAAAACCAAATGGAATCGAAAAATGGCCCGAGGGTAAACTAATGTTTTACTTGCAGAACGGCCCGTACTGCTTGCAAAACGGCCCATTCTGCTTGCAGAACAGACCGTTCCATATTCGAAATTCGCCTAGCAACAACGAAACAAGAAACATGACAAGAGAATGTTACCTTGATATTGTATTCTTCCAAAAAAAATGAGAAGCTAGAGACTTTAGATGAGAGGCCAAGAGAGTAAAGAAAAGAATGGGGCCAAAGATTAAAGAGAATGGAGGGGAAGGGAGAATGGGACCGTAGACTTTAGATTAAGTTCTGACATTTTTAACATCGGCTATCTGTGAACCGATTTTGTATGTAGTTTTTAAAATCGGTTCTTAGATAGCCGATTTTAAAAGTATATTTAAGAACTGATTTTAAAAACTACATACAAAATCGGTTCATAAATACCGATGTTAAAAGTAACACTTTTAAAATCGGCTATTTAAGAGCCGATTTTAAAAGTAGCATCTGAGACCTTTAAAATCGATCATAAGGTAGCCGATTTAAAAAGTAATGTCATTATTTACAAAATTGTCACCACGTCACTTTTAAAATCGGCTACCTTATGACCGATTTTAGAACCCCGATTTTAAAAGTGATTTTTGTACTAGTGGCTCCATTGGGACAAGATGCTAAAGGAAAATCAAAATTTGTCATACGCCCGTAAGTGTTCAGTATACTTCATCTCCAAATCTTAATTATGGCTCCTGATCATGTATGTAACCTTCTGGCTGTCTTCACTCTTCAGTCTAAATAAAACCTTCTCGATAGTTCTATATTAAACATCAAAATGTGTTTTTACTTTTATTCTGAATGAGAATTTTTGTAATTTATCTTTAGATTATATATCTGTCTATTATTGTGAGCCATTGCAAAATAGTTCCTCATTTTCTTTTCTGTAGAAAAGTTAAATATATAATGGTTATAATAGGTGGTTTTACTGGATCTGGCCTTGGTGCAAGAAGTTTAGGATTGTCTCAGCAATGATTCTAGAAATCTTGTTTCTATGATTTGTGTACTAGTAAGCACCCTTTCGGTCATGCAATAGGCCGAAAGGGGTGCCCAAACTAATGAAACGCACCAATTGGCACCCCTTCGGTCGGACAATAGGCCGAAAGGGGGGCCCGAACCAAGGAACCACACCAATTGACCCCTCAGGTCAGGCAATAGACCGAAAGGAGTGCCCTAGCCGATGAAACACATCACCCCCTTCGGCCCCGAGTTTGGCCGAACACCACCTCGGCCTCAGGCTTGGCCGAACACTCCCTCGGTCTCGTGGGTAGCCAAAAACCCAAAGAGAAGGGATCTGAAGCTATTCAAAACACCCCTTCGGCCCCAAGCTTAGCCGAACACCCCTTCGGCCCCAAGCTTGGCCGAACACCCCTTCGGCCATGCATTGGAAACATTTTATGAGCACTCTAAGATTTTTTTAATGTTCAACCAGCATGACACCATACAAGAACAGATATCAATTCATATAGATTCAAAAATAAAAAAGGAACAACAAGGATTTAATGGCAAGTAAAACAACTACACACGACTCTAAGACAAAACTAGTAGATTAAGAAATGTAAAATGCTTGTATTCTTGTTTCTTTTTGGGAATTTCTTTTTAGTCCGAAATTAATAAGAGTCCAATGGAAGATAAAAGCAATCCTAAAACATTTAAAAATACATAAAAGGAATACCTAATGCACACACAAAGATTGATTCACAAGAATTTAGAACATGAATCAAGAACAAACAAGACAAGGTGAGCGTGTTCTATAGATTTATAGATGTGACACAAGAACAACTCTAGGCACACAAACACAAGACAATAAAAGGAAATACATGTAGGAACAGTTTAGACACACTTTTACATGATTTGAACCGAACAAAACAAGACAAGAAAGCTTAAGAACGAATTTACCAAGGAGACCTAGCTCTGATACCAAATTATGGAATCCTTGTTGGAGAATCCGGATTGATGTGAATCCTCTTCAAGTTCCTCCCTAGATTTTTGGCTCCTTGATTCTTCTTAAGCTTTGCTAAGGTCTCTAATGGAGGTAGAGACCTTAGAACCACCACGGTTTGGTGGAGAACTCTCCCAAGAGACGCCATTCCTTGATGAAGAGATAAGTTTCTTCAATTCTCACCACACTCTTCTAGGGAAGGGAGAAGAGAATTGGATGAATATCAAAGAGGTTTAGGGACTTTTAGAAGAGAGAAATCTGAACAATCTCTGAATTATCTCGCAAATAAATGCCAAAAGTGTTTTACAAAGAAGGAAAAACAAATATATAGGAGTAGGAAACTTGGAGAGTAAGCTAGCCTTAACCATGGTTCACTAGGAATCATGGTAAGGTCTAGCTAACCATCCATGGTCTAGAGGCTGGGAGAGCAAGCTACTCACTTTGCTTGCTTGGTAAGCAAGCTAAGGAGAAGCTTGTGCTTCAAGCTTCTAAGCTTGAGAGGAGACAAGCAATTCGGCGAATGTGAACACAAAACAAGGTGGGCGGCTCTTTGGACTTTATTTTACTCCAACCGGTTTTGAAAATGTTGATCTGGTTTAGTTAGGTTCATCCAATGTGAATGGAACCTAGCTAAATCAAATCTATGAAAAATTAGGAGTAAAATGAGTCTAATATGTAAAATTTTGCTTAGGCCCACCTCTAGGCCCAATTGCTAGTAACACTCTCTAGCTTGCTAGTGACACTGTCTAGCTTGCTAATGCCACTCCCAATCCTAGAAAACTAAGAAAAAAGTGTATTTCTAGATTAGGTTAAATGGATTCAAAGTGTCCAAGTAACCTACCCTAGAAACAATATACAATAGCTAGTAAAGCAAATAGAGTGCCTCTCAAATACAAATGCAAAAATATACCTATACAAGTATCTACTATATACAAAGTACAAGAAATCAACTATACAAGTATGAACAATGAAAACTCAAGAGACTAATAAGAGGAATCATAATCAATGTTCATGAGGAGCAAAGGTCTAAGAAGCACCTCCTCTGTAGAAGCCTCCTCTAGCCTCCTAACCATGGACCTAGTTAAAGGCCCAATGGTCTTCTAGTGTGAGCCTCCTTGGATCAACCTTCACCCCTCTTGGTCTTATCTCTTCCAAAGGGATCCTTGGGGATTAGATTTCCATCACATCTACTACCATCACCCTACCAAGGAAAAATTTATTAATAAGGATTTCATATAACATAGTATATATTAATTTGGGTTTTTCTTTAAAGCATAGATACTGTCGTATATTAGAGCATTCACTTTTCTTAACTTTCTATACGTATTGCAACCTAATCCTCCTTAGCTAGTAAAATAAAATGAATGAAATTCCACAAAATATTGGGTAAGAAACACAGATTTCATAACTAAGTTAACCATCATGCTATATGTGTCCAATAAGATCAAGTCATGCATAAGGACCATAAAAGTGGGCTCAGCTTATTTTATTTTCATAAATGTCGACACACACCACTGCTCCCGCACAGTATATGCCAAAAAAAAAAATCAAAGATAAACCAGAACAGTACCTTTACAAAATCACCAGCCTGAATCATAAAATCCTTAATAACTCTATGAAATTGACAACCCTTGTAACCAACAGGCAGTCCTACTTTCCTGCCAACAAAATCAGATCATATAAAGTATTCGTTGACTTAAACCTACCCAGCAATGAGGCATACAATATAGAACCATTTGTAGCTACTCACTTTGCTTGCTTGGTAAGCAAGCTAAGGAGAAGCTTGTGCTTCAAGCTTCTAAGCTTGAGAGGAGACAAGCAATTCGGCGAATGTGAACACAAAACAAGGTGGGCGGCTCTTTGGACTTTATTTTACTCCAACCGGTTTTGAAAATGTTGATCTGGTTTAGTTAGGTTCATCCAATGTGAATGGAACCTAGCTAAATCAAATCTATGAAAAATTAGGAGTAAAATGAGTCTAATATGTAAAATTTTGCTTAGGCCCACCTCTAGGCCCAATTGCTAGTAACACTCTCTAGCTTGCTAGTGACACTGTCTAGCTTGCTAATGCCACTCCCAATCCTAGAAAACTAAGAAAAAAGTGTATTTCTAGATTAGGTTAAATGGATTCAAAGTGTCCAAGTAACCTACCCTAGAAACAATATACAATAGCTAGTAAAGCAAATAGAGTGCCTCTCAAATACAAATGCAAAAATATACCTATACAAGTATCTACTATATACAAAGTACAAGAAATCAACTATACAAGTATGAACAATGAAAACTCAAGAGACTAATAAGAGGAATCATAATCAATGTTCATGAGGAGCAAAGGTCTAAGAAGCACCTCCTCTGTAGAAGCCTCCTCTAGCCTCCTAACCATGGACCTAGTTAAAGGCCCAATGGTCTTCTAGTGTGAGCCTCCTTGGATCAACCTTCACCCCTCTTGGTCTTATCTCTTCCAAAGGGATCCTTGGGGATTAGATTTCCATCACATCTACTACCATCACCCTACCAAGGAAAAATTTATTAATAAGGATTTCATATAAAACCAGGATTCAACTCTATTGTTGTCACGAACAACATATATACAAGGCATAAATCTTGTGAATTAAAATGGAAGGCAGAAGTGCATTTAAGAGTAAATTCATAGATAGATCAATCAATGCATATACATAAACAATAGTACAAAATAGCAGTCATCCCACTATTCCGCAAAAGAAGTTTTGTAGTCAAACTCTCCACACAGCTATTAGGGATTGATCATTGTGAGTAAAATAGTTTCCACAAAATATTGGGTAAGAAACACAAATTTCATAACTAAGTTAACCATCATGCTATATGTGTCCAATAAGATCAAGTCATGCATAAGGACCATAAAAGTGGGCTCAGCTTATTTTATTTTCATAAATGTCGACACACACCACTGCTCCCGCACAGTATATGCCAAAAAAAAAAATCAAAGATAAACCAGAATGTTTTTATATTGGAACGTCCCGTTCC